CCCCCCCCCCCCAAATCCATAGACCAGCCCCAAACCCCTAAAGCGCGTGGCTTCACTAAACGAGGCTCCAAAAATCTTGTAGCTGCCAGCGTCTTGAACCCAGTGGAGGCTGAAAGTTCAGTAACGAAGAAACCAAAACTCCCTCAACCCGAAAAACCCTACACTAGCCCTAGAAAAAACTCTAAATAAACACTAAACCTAGCCAGAAAATCGTGATTGCAACCAGCCCCAACCCGAAACCCTTAAACATTCAACCCTTCCTAAGCCCCATACCCTTTACATGAAAGTGCCGGAACTTCTAGATTGGTTGTAAAACTTTTCCAGAATCCGTTGCAAAACTCTTAAAGTAGAGGCCATTCCTTCATCCTCACAGAACTCCAATAGAACCTACCCGTAACCCGAATAGAACCCGTTTGTTTCTAAGCCTTGCAGAACTCTTCTGGAAGCCTTGCAGAACCTGTGCAGACCCCTTGCAGAACCCTGAGAGGAACCTCGGAGGCAAGTTCCTGCAGTAGCTCCTCTCGTGCAGCCTGCGGTCGGTTTAGATGCATGGCTTAGGGTTAGGGTTGCGGGTTCAGGGTTGCCCTAAGCCCGAAACCCATTCAGATTCAGGTCGGGTTCCTTGGGGGAGTTCCGTGGTCGGACCTCGGGCTTCAACCATTGTGGAGACCTGGCTTGGCTTCGTAGAGCTCTGAGCTCTCACTGTGTCTTTAACGGTGTTTGCGCTGGCAATGTCAGGGTGGCCAAAAGCTTGGCACCGCGACGCGCCTCTGCCAGCGACATGTGCATGCCTCAGCTCATGTGTTCATACCGTGCTTGAAGTATCTTGAAGTCATTGCGGCATGATTCGGGACTCACATTGGGGCGCGCTCCAACTGCGGCTGTGGCACGCTCCAGGTGCTTTCGAACAAAGACCACTCCGCGGAAGTGCCTGAACAAATTATATTTTACAAAACGCCCTCTGAGGCCCCTCGGAGACAACAGTGTTTATCAATACAAGCATATACAAACCTGTCAGACTATGGAGACTGGTTCTGGCTCACGACGAGAAGCTTGCCGCACAACTTGCACTTGAACTTCTCATTCGTGACCTTCAGAATCGCCTTCTCCCTCTCCTTCACAAAAGCTTTCAAAGCACTCCGCCGGCACTGGAAGGCATGCAAAGGACGAAGCAAAACACATAATACACAACACGGCCTCGGCCAGGCGCTGCACCACCTGCTCATTGGAGTAGTCAGGGGCGGCTGCAGGTTTGTCGAAGGACCTGCATGAGGGCAGGGAACGAAATTACGAGCCAAATAGCCGTGCTGGTGCTCTTGACACACGTCGTCTTCTTGGCAGGCAAGATGCACGCTGCCCAGGAAGCTCTCCAGTCGCTGCTCATGAGCCGCGGACCACTCACCCGCCGTGCACTCCGGCTGTGCTGGCGCACGCAAGGTGGCGACGCCGCAGGCGTCCCGCAAGGACCACTCGTCATCACACCAGCGCGCGGCGTAGAAGCAGAAGTGGTGCACGCGACGCAGGTAGGTGACGCGAAGGTCCAGCTTGAATTCGGTGGTGCCATATGCATTCAGCACCAGGGCCGTTATGTCTTTGGGCACTTCTGTGAGGCCGTCCAAGCGCTGGATTACCTGCTCGGAGAGAGCCAAGTCCTTGAGAAGCCGCTCCGGAAGTGACATCTCCTTTGTGCCCCAATCGCGGAAGCAAACACACCTATAGTGCGTAGAGGACCGCTTTCCACAAGCCCTGCGTCCTGCGGCAACACCAGAGCAGCCAAGCCAGGCTTGGGGCTCAGAACGGATGCACGGCCCGTCCCTTCGCTTCCTGGCAGGAGCACTGCTTTGATTCAATCCTGTGGTGGCAGTCCATCGTCGTCTCTGCATGTGTGAACAAGCTTGCCTGGTCTGCTGAGCAGGGTCTCCGCGCTCCGCATGAGCACAACGGCGGCCGCGGTGGCATCCGCGGCTGAAGTGAACCTGTCAGAGGCCACACAACTCCAGTGCCGAATGCGGCAACACTACGCCAAGCAAGACATGCGGCACCCCCTGAATCCCTACCTGGCAAAGAAGTCCCGGGCCAGGTCCTTTCCTTCGAAACTCGTCCAGGCAGCAGTGCAAAACCCGGGGCGATCCTTTCAGGTGCTTCCGGGCATCGCATGCATCGACCAGCATGATGCAGACTTGCACATCTCGGCTCCTGAATCACATCCAGGACATCCCATACACTCACTGCCGGTGGAAGGCTACCTCGGAGGGCAGCCAAACGAAAACTCGAATTCTACGCCAGGAACTGCCAGTATCTGACAGTGACATCTTCGGTATGCAACCTGCATCTTGTCCTACCCTTGCCGAGCCGCGAATCACCAAGGATCCCACATCCGGGTCGAAGGCAAACTCGGGCGCTTGCAGATGCCCGGCTACGGGGCAGGTGGCTCCATGTCGCGCCTTGCTTGTTCGTAGGGACAGCTCGCGGTACCTTCGAAGGGAACTCGTGAGCTGAAAGAGGCATGTACGTTACAGTATACTATATTACAGTATAGCATCATCATGTTCATATAGCAGAAACTTGTCAATACATTGCAACCTATTCTTAGCGCCAGACCGTGCCTTCCGTCTCGCAGGTCCTGTCACGAGAAAGCACTAAGCAGAACTGCTGTTTCGCTGGACTTCCCGCTTTGTTGGCAGCCAACCCCAGAAGCAGGGACTGACCGACCCGGTCCTGAGCAAAGGCTGCGGCATTCAGCTGCGTCGTGCCAAGACGTAGTTCATATCGCCGGAGCCGAGAGAGATGATGATAAAGGTCGAAGAAGAGACCCGTCTCTTTGATTGCCTGCAGCTCTTCCTTCTGCCTCTCGTGAATGTACTGCTGGAACCTGTTCATGACAAAGTCTGGAGAGTCCTCGTTGGATGCGTGCTTCAGCACAAAGTCCCGGAAACTGGGCTCTGCCGTGCTCGCCTTCGCCTTCAGCTCGGCGTCCTTTGCATGCACTCCTGCCTCGGTCTTTGCCGGTGCCTCTGGGACCGACGGGGTCGGGGCGAGGCGCCGCGGCGCTGGTTTCTTCTGGGAAGGGGAGCGGCTCGCGAAGCGAGGATTGTGCGATGGACTTCGCCGGCAGGGAGGGCTCGGGGAGCGACGTCGGCAAGGAGTCTTGCTTCGGCGCCGGAACGTACAAGGAAAGCTCTTGCCGCCCCTTCCACTTTTCCCGCTTTTCCCAGTCTTGCCGATGCCCTGGCCGAAATGTCTTGTGGCTAGACATGAATCTGAAGCTCTGCACTTTTGTAGGAAAGCCTCGCCTTACTGGCACCACTGCCAGGCTTCTCATCAATCTCCCGACCGTCTGGATGCTTGAACCTGATCGCACACATCTGCGCAGCTCCGACCCCTCTTAGTTTTCAAACCTTCGCTCGTGCTACCAAGGCCAGAGCCAGCACGTGAAGCGTGTGCAGGCACGCCCGTGCCAGCAATTGATGGTATGGCGGTTTGAAATTCCGGCACCTGTCATGTTGATGTGCACTTGGCAGCAACGGGCTCCCAGATTCTGTCCCTCGTTTGGCCGCAGCTTGTCTGGACCTCTGTAGATTATGCTCGCGACTGGTCTCATGCTCACACCTGGACCTTGCCCACCAGCCCATGCAGCCTGGTCGAGCGCGGAACCGCCGGGACCGAGAGCGTCGGGAGCGCGAGCGCCGGGAGGTCCGGGAGCGCGGCGAAGGGGAGCGCTCGGGGCTTGAGCGGGGCTCGCTGACCTGGGCTGTCGTGCTGTTGCCCTCGTAAACTCCTGCGCTGGCCGTTGCAAAATGGCAGCAGACGGCAACACGGCTATACAGTACATCACTATGGCGACGGAAGCACAAAGCAATAAGACAAGAAAGCGAGTACTTCTGGCGGCAGTCGGCAGCCTTTGCAGAGCCCTTGCTGCTGGCGACTTCTGTNNNCCTCCAGGGAGCATCCGGTGCATGGGTTTTGAAGAACTACATGATAGCAACTCATCAGCAGCAGGATGTTCTGATGCAGAGTGTACGTGCTTCCTCCTACCTGACTTTCTCTTTGAGATTTCCAGGATGGAGAGGGTGGGGGGGGGGCGAGCCTCCTTGGTTTGGTGTTCGTCCATGGCCGAGTGCCCGGAGGGAGAGGGCGACATGGCAGAGCGAGAGACGAGAGCAGGGTTCGAGACTTGGTGGCTGCGGCTGGTAGAGCCTTCCCATCAACCTGCATGCGTGCACTCTCGCTCTCACTTCTGCAACATCTTTCCCAGGAAAGGAGTGAGCACGGCAAAGCATCAGCGGGGAGTGATCGCGACAGGCTGAGGTTGCTATCTTGCTCCTGACTTTGCGCCAAGAAGCTTTCAAGCACCTTTAAGCCGCTCCTTTTCAAGAGGCTCCTTCAGGGGCCCTTTAAAAGAGCTCCTTTAAGGGCCCTTTTAAAGGGCTCCTTAAGAAACAACCCTAAACCCTAAACCC